TCTTCCAGTACTATGCTTCCCTTTCTGGGTACGGCTATGGACCTAAACCTCCCCAGTTCTACTGGACTAACGAAGTCATCTCCCTTCGGACGCCTGGCGGTATCTTGTCGAAGCAGAGCAAGGGTTGGGTGAGCGCAACAACCAAGGTTACAGCTGAGAAGAAGGTTACCAACCGGTACCTTTTCGCCATTGAAGATCCTTTCGAGACCGACCACAATGTTGCAAGGACAGTCACTCACCGTGGTATCGTCGCTATTAGAGACGAGTTTAGAAGAGCATGGAGGATACTCAAAGCCATCGGACAGGACACAGAGCCTGAAGGCGGAATCTTCGACGAGGTCGTGGAGCAACCGCCTATTCCGAAACCCGAAGAGGTCCAAAAGGGCAATATTGAGAATCTTGGTGTTGATGGGGAGACGAAAGGTGAAGGAGTCCATCAAACGATTGGAGTGTAAGAGGTCTGTTTCTCTTCCTGACTCGGTCAGAGTTGAATCCTACGGTAGGGGGCAGATGTTAGGTTGTTGTATTAGTTGCAAAACGTATGTTTATTATCGAAAGGTGTTCAACTGGATGTGGTGCACGGGCACTGATGATAACGAAGATGCATGGAATAACGACTTCACGCGATGGATACGCTAGGCAGTTCGAGTTTGCTCTCAGAAGTCTACACCTGCTTCACTGTATTACCATAGATGTAGAAATAATCATGATCAAATTCGCGATTTAGACAGCCTCCTTCTCAAAGTTGGAGCCATCCCTCCCACTCCTGCTCCATCTCGAAGAATGCGTCAAAGGCTGTGCTGACGGAGCTCCCCTGCATACTGTGAAAAGCTTCTGTCTGTGAACGGTCTTGATCTGCCGGTGAATCGAAGCTGTGGCCGCCTCCATAACTCATGTCTGCCAAGACTGACGAGGTGAAGCTAACGCTTGCTTCAGATGGTTGTGCGTTGTCTGCCCCGTCATTTTCCGACCTACTATGCAGTCTACCAAGAACAACATCTATAGTATTCAAAGCTGTCTGAGCTTCTTTCGAGAACACTTTCTGCGGCTCCCAGACACTTCTCGATCTCTCGAGCGCCTCTACACTCTTCGTAGCGACCTTTCCACCGATCAGCCCCTTCTTGATGTCATCATTCAAGTTGAAACACAACACAGTCGTGGCCAGCAAGAACTCGGATTGGACCAAAGAAAGAATCTTCCATCGATCAGTATATAACATACGCCCCGGCTGGCACTGCTCAAATAGCTCAACGTGTAATTGTAACATCTCCGTAGCCGCATTCACGCATGTCGTATGTGAAATGCTGTACTTGCTATTTGCCTTCGCAAGAATCATGAACTTGCGGTGAAGGGTGATCTGTGCATGATGATAAGACATCGCCATATAAATACGGCGGGTGATGAGCTCAGCACCGTCTAAGACAGACCGTTGCATGGATTCCAGCTCGAGTATAGGAGGCTTCTGTGCGTATGCAGTATTGAGCAATACATCCAAACGCATTGCTTCCTCGTAGTCTCGCTGCTTGGATGACGTAGTGAAATCGCAAATCATTCCGTAGACGGAGACAACTCTACTCTTGTAGACCAGGAATTGAGCAAGCGTGTGTTCATTCTGTGGTCTAGCGGGCGGCAATACGGTTGAAGTGTCGTCGAAGTCGTTGTCAAGAAGGTTACGAGGTTCAGCGGCATCGCATTGAGTCTCTTTGATGATGCGCGGAAGGCCGACCTGGGAAGCAGATGCAGTGTCGAATTGTGTGAGTACTAAATGTAGTTGTACGAAGTCAGTATAATTCATACATGCAGTTTGTACAGAGAAACTTACTGTACCAAGTACGCCGGCGCATTTCTGCCTCGTAAACACTGATGTTTGGGAAATGCGAGCCGTCACGATGATAGCCCATCTTGAGCGCTACACGTATAATGACACCTGTCAACTGCCAGCATCCGTGTTGTGTGTCTTCGCCTTGAAGGTATTCGGTCTGCAGAAAGGTCAAAAGAGCTTCAATAGTATGCGGCGCTCCCTTCATGTAATTGCCTAGCCTCAGGCACTGTATCATCTTCTCTCGTGAGATTATGACTATGCTACGATATTCGGATGCCGTCGTCTCATCAAGTGAGCCTGCATCTCCATTGATGAAGAGGGTACAATACGCCACAGTGTACATCATGCCATATAGTATGGTCAGCCACATGGTCGATGTCGAAAGTGGGTCCTCCCAGAAAGCCTCATATTGTTTGAAGAAGACCCCGCGATGAATAACAAGGGAAACGGGCATATCGGCCCACTTGAAGTACTTCGATATCATGCTGTCGACAACGATACGAGGTGGAACCGTAGCGATGATATCCATCTTCGTGGTTGGATATGTCTGAAGAAGAAACAGATCGTTACCAGGAAGTACCGGGTCAGTATAGGGATCCCCTAAATCTTCGGGATGTTGCTGCACCATGCCCTTCAGATCACCTATTTCATCGAGGATGGCTTTCCAGTGATCACTCTCTACGTAAGAGGACTCATGGTTCTCCAGATTCATACTCCCAGCCCCGTATGTGAGAGGATCCGTATCACCGGCGACATCAGTGGCCATGGGAAACGCCACGCTGTCAGGCAATGGAGCATTGAGTTTGCTTTGTTGCTTATCAAGCAAAGACCGAACCAGTGATTCGAGTTGGTCGATTCGTTCCTGAAAAATCTTTCGGGTGGCAGTGTCCATTGGTGGGTCTCTTTGTGAAGCGCGAGGAACCTGAGACAGAGGAAACGTGCATATCGTTGCCTGCCCTAACCGGATGCAACTCCCACATGGCTTGTTGCGGTCACAACGGAGTCTGAGTGCGAGTTAGTAGCAATTGTTCAGTATAGAGAGATGAACGGTTTACTCGCTTTCGCTTCCGGCAAAAGTCGCAAGACAGCTGAACCTTCTCTCGGCCTCTCATCTTCTCCAGTAGCCGTGCGGAGGAAACGGGGGAACTCGTCATGTCCTCGAATTGCTTCTCCTTTGGTCAGGAGATGAGGACTGGAATGAGTCTTATTGGAATTGTGAGCATGCCCCTTGACAGCGCCCGCGGGCACATCAGCCACTCATAATGTGCACGGATCATATTTCCATCGCATAATGTACACTATATCGCTCATTCTTCCCATTGGGGTATGTAAGCGTCAGCGTACCTGGTATGAGCCAGTAATCTTCTGTGGCTGGAAAGTGGGTCCAAACGGACGTCCGCTTGACGCTGATTGGCACATTGTATCTCATCCTTGAAAGCACACAGTAGGCAAGCATGAAAACTAACGTTGATATTTGTATAGAATAACCAAGGAAGTAATATTTAAACAAGCTCCAAGGAATCACATATTCCACTCTCTTACTTCTCGATATCTTGAGGACAAGTAATTACCACTTCAAAGACCATATCCTATACAATGCCTACCAATCTTGCAGCATGGATACCAGCACCTAAGCAACGAATGCAAGTCGCAGAAGCACCATTTCCTACACCTGGGCCAGACGAAATCATCATCAAGAACCGTGCAGTAGCAGTCAACCCTGTCGATTGGGTTTTGCAAGATCAGGGCACCAGTATGGCATTTGGTTGGATCAAATATCCTTTCGTCTTTGGATACGATGTAGCTGGCGAGGTGGTCCAGGTTGGGAACAAGATCGTGCGGTTTAAAGTAGGGGACCGCGTTCTAGGTCAAGCACAGAGCACGGACAAGACGATCAACAGCGCGGCGTATGGAGCATTCCAGCTGTATACCGTTCTCCTCGAAAGGAACTCATCGCCCATTCCGGATACCACATCATTCGAGTCTGCTTCAGTGATGCCATTGGCCTTCACCACTGCTGCTGCAGGGTTATTTGAGAAAGACCAGCTAGGCTTGCGATATCCTCAACTTGACCCGAAATCGACCGGAAAGACTGTCCTTGTGTGGGGAGGCTCGACTAGTGTGGGCTGCAACGCTATCCAACTCGCTGTAGCCGCTGGATACGAAGTCGTATCGACATCTTCTCCAAAGAACTTTGATCTCCTGAGATCGCTCGGAGCGACCGAAGTTTTCGATTATAATGACCCCTGTTCAGTTGATAAAATTGTTAAGTTCATGGAAGGAAGAGAATGCGCGGGGGCCCTATCAATCGGAGAGGGTGCAGTTTTCCGCTGCCTGGATGCACTGAGCAGCTGCAAAAGCGGCAAACATATCGCGATGGCAACATATCCAATCCCGGCTCAACCGAAACACTTAGTCGCGTTGCAGATTGTCTGGAGCTTCGCGACTTCGATGATCTCTATCGCTATCAAATCAAGGCTAAGGGATATCGAAACGAGCTTCATATACGGATCAGTAGCACACAGCCCTGTTGGTGAAGCCGTATATGCCGACTTCCTGCCTGAAGCCCTTGCAAGGGGCAAGTTCAGACCTGCACCGGAGCCCATGATCGTTGGAGAAGGACTAGGAGCTATCCAAAGAGCGTTAGATATACACAAGAAGGGAGTCTCGGCGCAAAAGGTCGTTGTAAGCCTGAAGTAATGCTGGGAGCTGACGTACTTATGATTTGCTGCTTTCTCTCGTACAATGACTGTGCCCTCTGTACTGTTTCTGGATATGTTACTATGGTCAGAACATGATCGCAACTTACAAATCTTATCAAATCAATCTAGCTTTGCTTGACCAAAGTGCCGAATAGTTCCGATGATATAGACATAGAAGTTACGAGTTTTGGCGGAATTGTTCAACACCTAAGCCCGAGCAGGCATCCTACTTTAGTTCACCCTTACGCACCCGCCCCACGCATCGTCCTACCTCCATAGCCTCCAGCTTTTAGCTAAGACGCGGCATGATCAAGTTTCTCCTGGCCTTCGTGAAGTGTTTGTCTTTTATCTCCACCGTGCCTTCAAGATATCAAGAAGGTGCAGGAAGTAATCCGTATAGGCTACCCATGCACGCGCACTGTTACTTCGATAGTGGTACATGTTTATTGCCAGAAAGTACACACGCACTGCATAACTTACAACTTGATGTCAAAACTTGTCCCGCACCCACAACTGCTCGTCGCCCCCGGTATGCCCGTAATCTTGAACTGGCTACCTATCAACTCCATCGTATAATCCACCGTGCTTCCATTCAGCAACTCTAGGCTAGACTCGTCAATTACGATCTTCTCGCCCCTTTCCCCCTCAAATATAGTGTCTTCCTCGGCCGCTGGGTCTTTCGATAAGTCCGTCAGGTCCATAAGATACTGGAAACCGTGACATCCGCCGCTCTCGATGCTCACGCGCAATGCGAGGTTTGGGTTGTTGTCGCCTGTAGAGATCTTCTGGAGGCGATTCGATGCACGAGGTGCTATAGAGATCAACATTGGGTTACCGGAGTCATCGGTACGAGGGTTCTGGATTGGTTGCGCGGGCTTTGCGGTGGAGGCGTCGGATGATGTGGCAAGAGTCCGTCGTGGTATGTGTTGTCGTTTTGGGAATATGGAGATCTGTGCTGGAATATTTCTGAGCACCCTGCGTGGAGACGAAGGCGCAAGAAAGTCGAGGAAAGGCGACTGCGAAGTGGCGCCTGAGGACACTCTGCTGTACGCTCGCGTGGATTGGATCGCGGCAGTTGTAGAATGGGCGGATCCTTTTGCCATCGTCCTTCTCGCTATTCGCAGGCAAGATGCGCACATGGTTGAAGTGGACGCCATTGTTGCGATATCGAGGTTGTGGTGAGATGAAGGTTCATGAATCTGAGGTCATAGCTAAGAATGTCACGGCCGACGAGACCCAATCAGACGCGCCCACCGACTGAGAGTTCTAGATCGCTTAGTCATACCATGCCCCCACCTTGTCCCGCCACTATTAGTCGTACGAGCCACCAGGCCGTTCCAGTCTTACGCCAGAGCTATTTACTTATCGTGCCTGAGAGCTCCATGATAGCGCCATATCATCTCTGCATAAGCTTCTTTTTGTTTGATTCCTGGTAGTCTTTCGTACATCACCAGCGACGATGCCCAAACACTACAATGCATATCTCGAACTTCCACACTCGGAACTTTGCACAGAGGAGTTCGCAAGGAATGAAGACAGAAAGGATGGATTGAGCAAGTTGAGGAACGAATTTGTGATTCCAAGTAAAGGCGACTTGAGAAACAAGAAATTCGGATTTCAGCAAAACTCCTCGGGAGAGGCCGCCGCTACGCGCGAAGACGACAGCGAAGATTCCATATACTTCTGCGGCAACTCTCTAGGACTTCAACCTCGGAGAACAAAGGAATATGTTAACCGTTACCTGGATACTTGGGCATCCAAGGGTGTGTTTGGTCATTTCACGAATTACGAGGGAGGATTACCGCCATGGCTACACATCGACGATGCGATCAAAGACCAGACAGCAAAGGTAGTCGGCGCACTACCTACAGAAGTCGTCACAATGGAGACTTTGACTGCAAATTTACATTTGCTCATGGCAAGTTTCTGTAAGTGTCCCAGTGAGAACTGCATGTGAGCATGCACTGACTTTGTACACCCACATTAAGACCGGCCAACCAAGGACAGGTACAAGATCATCATTGAGGCGAAGGCATTTCCTAGTGATCATGTAGGTTTATGCGAAAATGCTGTCAGCGCTTAGATATTGACTTCTTCGCAGTATGCCGCTCTCTCCCAGATCGCCCACCACAACCTCGACCCATCTGCGCTCATAACCATCGATCCGCCCTCAGCGTCCTCGCCTTACCTTTCCAACGAGCACATACTCTCAGTCATATCCCAACATGCGCCAACGACTGCACTGGTCTTGTTGCCTGGTATCCAGTTCTACTCGGGCCAGTTCTTCGATATAGAGCTCATAACGCGCCACTGCCGATCGCTGGGTATAACCGTAGGCTGGGACCTTGCCCATGCAGCTGGAAACGTACCACTGAAGCTACATGACTGGAATGTTGACTTCGCAGCATGGTGCAACTATAAATACATGAATGGTGGCCCTGGTGTTATTGGTGGACTGTTTGTACACGAGAGGCATGGAAGAGTGGAGCAAGTGCCTGCAGTTCGAAAAGATGGCACAAACGGCGCAGCGGGTAACAGCACAGAGCTTGCCTACCGACCGCGATTAAGTGGCTGGTGGGGAAGCGATAAAGACAGTCGCTTTCGCATGGAAAACAAGTTCGTGCCAATCACTGGGGCGGGCGGCTTTCAGCTTAGCAACCCTAGTGCATTGGACATAACATCTGTCATGGCTAGCTTAGACGTCTTTGCTTTGACGAACATGGACGCTTTACGGCAGCGGAGTCTCAGGTTGACTGCGTACCTCGAAGCGCGGCTACTAAAGTATGACGGAGGAGAGCCACCTTACAAGATTATTACACCTGCGAATCCGGCGGAGCGTGGTGCGCAGCTCAGTGTGCTTCTCAACCCAGGACTGCTGGACCAAGTTCAACACTATATCGAAGAACGTGGCGTGGTTGTCGATGAAAGAAAGCCTGATGTGCTTCGCGTGGCGCCTGCACCACTGTATAACTCCTTCCACGATATCCATCGCTTTATCACTGTCTTCCACGAAGCTTGTCGTATAGCCGTGAAGGGTGCTGGGCAGAAGGGCGCGCACAATGACAAAATCCCTGAAGGAATCGCGAATGTATGATTGTCCTGTGCGCTATCTCAGGCGGTACCTACTCGTTTTCGAGAGCGATGTAATTTCTAATACTAGTAACACATTATACCCCAGCAATAGCAACTTTCATCATGTCGTAATCAAAAGTTTGATTCAAGAAAGGGAACTCTATGTAGTAGACAAGGTCGCGATCGGGAGCAGGTAAAAGCCGCCACCCGTTTAGGTCGTCGTATGCGAACATGTATCCAAGCATCCTAAGCCCTAAGCCTTAAGCGCAAAAGAGAACAGACTGTCCATCTGCACCCATTGCCTTCCATTCCTCTCCAGCCATCGCTCCACCACGCCCTTGAGTGTACCAAATCTCTCTCTGTTGACTTCCGCCAGCACTTTCATCTTCTCTTTCCTCTCCATATCCTCTGATTTCACACCAGCATCCATCTTGCCTACACGGTCAACATCAAATAACGATTGATAGTACAACAGTTGGTTCCAAACATCGCGTTCCTTGATCTCGTAGCTCATCTTGCCCAAGCAGTCGCGAGCGAGACCCTTCGGACCAAGGCAACGGTGTCCGTAGACAGATATACTACGCGTTCGATTTGAACATTGTGGGTCGTCGCAAAGAACATGACCGGCGTAGTATGACGCGAGGACTTGACGGATAGAAGATTCTAGCTGGGCCACCACGCTGATGTTTTGTAGCAACTTGCCGCAGCCTTCAGCGGGACATTGTATTCCACTGTGGGAAATGGTCTGCAATGATGCCGTAGTTGGTGATGTCGAAGAAAGACCCTGGAATGGGAACACAGTTGTACACTCCCGGCAGCGCAGCCACAGTGGCGAGCAAGATTGGAAGCGTACGGAGTCTGGAATTTGCGACTCTAGAGGATGGATTTCTGTGTCTTGTTGCGCACCTCCAGAGACGGTGCTCACGCGATATTTGGAAGTGTCGAGACCGAGACAAGCTGCTAAGAGAGTGACGTTGGTTCCGCTGATGGGAGCACAGAGACGTTCTACTGGTGGTAAAATCTGCTTGTGGAGGTAGTAATCAATATCTGGTTTTAGTCCACTGTCGGCTTTCAGGACTTCATCAACCGGATAGGCGTTCTTTGCTGCGTTTTCGGCCGAACCAGACGATTCACCCGTAATGATGAAGCTCATAACGTCCTTGGCCTTGACGTGTTTGCCCTTTGCCTGAAGGCGAAGTGCGACCTGGACAGAGGGCATCGAGTTACCATTGGGATACTCCTTGGGGTTCTTTCCGAGCTGTGTATAGATGGTGTACTTCCGAGCTGGTACGGTGTACTCGCGCATCTGCTTGCTCAGCTCACGGAGATGGTTGTGGATCTTCTCGACGACTACCTCAGGGTCTTCACCGCTAAGGAGGAAGTTAAGTAGTTCCCTACATCTTTGTTAGCGAATTGTACTAGATGTTTGATGCGGCAAGACTTACGTTGACGTCTCCTTCGACAGGGCACAGTATTCTCTGCGTCTCATGTCGAGACCCTTGACTTCAAGTTTCTCGATGTACTTGCCGTCAACAGAGACCATGTTGATGGCGGCGTACTTCTTCTTGGCATGCAGTAAGATGCGACGGAAAACGTTGTCGATATCGATCTCCAAAAGTCTGTAGCTGTCGTTGATCTCCCTTTTGAACTCGTTACCCAATTTTAGCGCATCTTGAATGTTGTCGACATTTGTGTTGATCATGACGGAATCTGTATCACCATAAATGACGCGCAGCGCCTTCTCCTCGGCCATGTCCTTAGTCTTCCGAAGAATTTCACGACCCTTGTATGTCGTGAGCATAGCGAGTGGTCGAGCGTAGAACCGAGATTTGGTATATCCCAAGCATCCGTACATAGAGTTGGCAGTAAGCTTTAGGGCCATTTGCTTGATATCCCAGGTGGCCAGCTCATCCGGTGTAGCATCCTTTGCCTTCATAAGCTTCTTCACTTCGCGACGACGCGAGACAAGTGTAGCAATAAGACGCGGCAAAATACCCTGATCTTGGTTCGTGGGAACTTCTGGCACCTTATCGTCATCCTCTGAGAGATCCGATCGCTCCACAGTCGTGAAGCAAATGTTAAACTCCTGGATAATACTGGGGTAAAGAGAGTTGAAGTCCATGACCAGAATGAACTTGTCGTAGAGACCTTTCTCGGGTTCGAAGACGAGACCACCTTTGAACTTGTCCTTCTTCTTCGCGTCCGCACCTTCTTCACCTTCCACCGCTTCTTCCTCAGCTTTGATCTTGCTTTTGCCCCACTGTTTGTCCGGGCAAATGTACTTGTTCTTGTGGAACTCGTGCAGCAAAATGTACTCGTTACGCTCTGCGCGGGTTCCGCTCAGCGTTCGGGCCCATGAGTTACCTGCCAAATTGGTGAGAACCTTGGTAAGTGGAAGCATCTGCACCTTTATCGCAATGGCAGCGATGAAGTAGGCATCAGCTTGGCAGTGCTTGATGTAGTTGAGAAGACCCTCCTTCGTTGTCGCCCAGGTCTTCAGTGCAGCTTCGTTATCAAGCTCTTCACGTCGCTTGTTGAGTCCAAGCTGAACCATCTCTTCAAGACTCCACGACTGACACTTTGGCATAAGGGATTTTCCAAGGTCATTCGCCAAATCGCACAGCAAGCGACCAGAAGCTAATTGCTTTTCAGCAAAGAAACTGCCACCGCCCTTGCCCATACTCTTAGGCCAATCACTTCTCTTAAGTCGTCCAATGCGGTGCCATCCTGGGGTCTTCTTCTCTCGAAGACGGCTTAGCAAGACGCTGTAATCGACGTCGTCTAAGCGATGGCCGACAAGAACATCCGGGTCATGGCGCTGGAACATCGCCATCAACAGACTGAGAAGTTCTTGCTCTGTCTTCTTCATGTACATGTTGCCTTTCACTTTCTCGACTTCTTTATCGAAGCCTGTTGGGAAAGCAGTGCCATTCGGCCGCATGATAGTGAAGCTCTTGCACTGCATTTGATCGACAGGTGTAGTGTCAGTCAGAGAGAAGCTATCGTATATCATAGCACTGGCCACCAGGATCTCCTGCTTGTTGTCCTTGGCATTGAAAGTGGTTCGCAGGGAGAGACTCATGAGGGTCATTGGAGGTGCGTCCAGATTGTCCGACGCGCTCGTGACTGTGATATTGTTGGGTTTGCTCACCAAGACTTCGAGCTTACACCAAGAAGCGTTGGCGACAGCAGCGAAGTCGGGAGCGTCGATCTTGAGCCAGCATGGTCCCATGACGTTCTTCCAAAGAACAAACTGTTCGAAAAGCGAGGTGTTGGTTCCAAAAACATGTGAGAATGTTTCTCCCTTTAAATCAGAGGCTAAAGGCATCTTGTCATATCCATAAAGGAGCTTGAGGTAATCGGCTTCTTTGGGTATGTCGGCCAATTCGAAAGCGTACTTCCTGGTACATGGCTTGATCTTGTGTAAGTTTACGCGGTGCTTGCTCATTATGGAGTCAACCTCGTCTGATACATCACTCAGACCAACCTCCTCGTCTGTGGTTACTCCTCGGATGTGACGGTACTCTCGGGGCAGAAAGTACAACTTTCGGAGGATGTTATCGACCTTCACAAAGCAACTGACATAGTTGCCTGACTTCTTGTCCTTAACTTTACCGAACAGGCACAAGCTGCCGTTAATTTCAGTGTAGTCGATCCAGAACATGCGTAAGCTGCCGTCCTCTTCCAGCGCATCCTGTGGTTGTATCTTGCCCATACCAGTAGTTGCAGGGGCAGGACTACTCATGACGTTGAGTTTGCTTGTGACATCATTCCACGAAGAAGCATCGACAGGTGCTGTGGAAGGTCCAACAGGTGAGCTGGCAGGTGCGGGGTAGTCTTCTTTCTTGATCTTCGCTATCGGTCGTCTGCCGGCCATGTTGACACTGGCTATTGGCACACCAAGATGTGTCGTGGGTTGAGCCACCTCCATGAGGTCATCTTCTTCCTCTTCTTGTTTAATCGCAGGATGTGCTCTTCTTTCTACGGCTTTAGCAACGGGTGATGACTGTAGTGGAAGGTCGCTCATAGGATGGTCGTCGTCCAGTATGGGAAGGTCATCGTCGTCGACGTATGCATTCGCTGCCGGTGGTGTGTCTGGCATGTGTGCGTCTGAATCATTGGTCCGCTTTGTTACCGCAGTCGACCGGTTCTCTGATACAGGAGGTGACAGCACGCGTGTTTTCCTTCGCGCCTCTGTCTTTACGGGACGCGTTCGGTTCTTCGAGGAAGGAACGGGGTTTGTGTCGATTTCGCCAAGTAGGTCCTCCATGAAGTCTTTGTCGGCTGCAGTGACAACAGGCTGGATGTGTTAGCGTTGACCCCGCACGAAGTCATGTACTCAAAGAGCTCACCTTGGCCTTTGGTGCCTTTGCAGCATTCTTCGCACTGAAGTACTTGCTAATGCCATTGTCAATCTTTTTTCGCTTCTCCTCGTCTTCTTCGCGTTTCCGTTTGGCTATAACGCGTTAGTACTACTGTTAATTGGCCGTGATTACATCATTTCATACCAGCTTTGCCTTTGGCAGGCCGCTCGTCTTCTCCCTCGCTGTCTGTCGCAGCATAATGGTATTGACCGTGGCCTTCATCCCACTCCTCCCGGCCGTCATCGACATAACCCTCGCCCTCGTCGCCAACAACGAAATCGTCTTGATCCAGTCTTCCCCGCACAATCTTCTTGTAGCCCTCTTCGTCGACCGTATCGTACAATTGCTCTTCTTCTGCGACTTCGTATGTGGACAAACGCGTCTTGCCTGCCGCACGATTCGCTCGCAGTTCCGCGAGTAGGGCAGCGCCGGTCTTCTTCCCTACACGCGACATAATGTATTACAATGTATAGGTTGTGCGAGTAAAAAGCGAAGTGAAGAAACTGGGGTATCTGGTGCCGTCGAAGGCGTGTTTGGAGGACTGGCGGGACGACAGGTTAAAGTGCAGGAGCGACGCGCTAATCGGCACCGTGCACGCGACGCGACATTCCATTAATCACGCCAAGACGCTACCCCGATTCGTACATTCTATCACTCGCCCACAACGGGCTACATCTTCAACACCACAACATCATCATGGCATCAGTCTCAAAAGCCCCTCTGGTCTGGATAGACTGTGAGGTAGGCTTACTTGTGCTCTTATGCAGTATTTCGTTGACCCTGTTAGATGACCGGCCTGAACACTGATAATGACACTATCATGTCTCTTGCCGCATTTGTCACTGACGCAGACCTCAACATCCTCGACGAAGCAGGCTATGAGGCCGTCATTCATCATGAAAAAGAGCAGCTCGACCGTATGGGCGAGTGGTGTACAAGTCATCATGGGCAGTCTGGTCTGACGCAAGCCTGCATCGACTCTGCCACTACCGCCGAAGAAGCAGCAGAGGGCCTACTTGCCTACATCAAAAGATTTGTGCCCGAGCGCCGCACTGCTCTGCTTTCCGGTAGCTCTGTGCATGCCGACAAGTCTTTCCTCGTCAAGCAGCCCTACAAGGTTGTCACCGACTACCTCCACTACCGGATCATGGACGTCAGCAGCATCAAAGAAGCTGCTCGTAGATGGGCGCCCAAAGACACACTCAAGAAGATTCCAAGGAAGAAGATGTTGCATGAGGCACGTGCGGATATTCTGGAGAGTATCGAAGAAGCGAGATACTATCGCGAGGCGTTCTTTCTGAAGCCAGCGAGCACGATAGAGTCGTCAAAAGAATGATGGTGGATTCAGAAGTAGCATGAAAGCCACATAGTTCTTGGATAAGGTAGAGGAAAGATGAGATGAATTGATACTGCCTACAAGAGATGAGGTGACTGCCTATATACGGCAGTCTATTTGCTGCATACAAAAGGAATGTGAAGACAATCAACCTGGTTGTACATGAGATGGAAGTTGATGGAAACCAGCAACAATCACCCTTGTCTAAACCCTAAAAATCATGCATTAGTATCAAACAGAGCGTCTTCTTGGATTTTGGATTCTGCTACGGCACGAATCGCCTTGCAAGCACTGTTTTGCAAGTGTCACTGCTTCCTATCATGTCCACTGATCTCGCGGCGTGTATAGCGGCGGTCTGTCATGCGCGGATATGCAGCATTCCTGGAAAAATGATAGAAGACATAGTGAGTAAACATTGTAGTGTGGCAAAAACATAAGAGAGGTATGCATAAGCGATACAGGTTATACAAGAGGTCGAAGAAATGGACATGGGTGTATACCAGAATGCAAAAGTCTAAATACTGGCGGTAGTAGCTCACTATTCACCTTTATGGTTGACTTGGTGATGCGCGTGGATCTTAAGCAGGAACGCGATTACTCATCGCAGGGTATCATACTCCTGTTCTACTTGTGCACTAACATATGCCTACTGTGAGGATTGCCAGTAGACTGTCGCTTCATACGTACAAGATGCCTACCATGCATCATGCCGCAGCCTGACTCCGAAGTTTTATCCTCTTCGCCTTATGCTCATTTCTTTCCAATGCTGAATCCCCTCGTCATGTAATCCGCACTGTTGCCCGCCGATGCCTTATGCTCCGTCTTGTTAAACAAACTATTCACGTTGTCATTTTGCGCCATCTTCCTCCTCTTATTGCGTTCTTCTTGCTCCTCAAGCACCTTTCGTGTTAAGGAGGCCGTGGCAGAGTTCTTGATTCCGTCGTTGGCTGATGTTGTCGGGTTTGCTGCACCCTCTTTCTTTGTCTTTCTGTCTCCGCCTGGTAGTGGGGTTTTCGTGGCGCTGTCTTCAGTGGACGCATTGCCGTGCTTACGTTTCTTCTTGCTTCCGGGCGCTTTCTTGAGCGCGTGTGTGAGGCCCTTGTCCTTCAATACTTTCATACGTAGATTCAATCGCGCGATATCGGTTGGTGTGGTGGGTAAGATGGGTATGATATCGTTCTCAGCGTACGGTTCGTTGCACTGGTAGCAAATCAGTCGTCGTGTCTTGAAATGGTCAACGCAGCAAATACGTACTGTCAAACACGTGCTCTCGCCGACTTCCTTAACGACACTTCCCGCAAAGGCATGCCCACAAGGAACAACATATACAGCCTTACTCCCAAACCCTAGCCTCTCTCCAGTAATGGGACATTTCCATTTCTCACCTAGAGTCTTCTGTACCTCACCACCGTCTTTCTCCTCAATTTCAAACTTGACTTCGACCACGTCTTTCAGACCCTTGACCCTATCCCCGAATGTGCCTAATTCTGAATCTTTGACGCCTGCGATCTTCTTCATCTCCGTCTTCTCTGCGTCATCTTCTTCTTTTAGCAAGAACTCGATGATGGAGTCCTTGTTGTACAGAATACCAGCAGCATCGGAAACTACGGGGCGGGCAAGAGGCTTGCGCGTCAAAGGATCAGTGGACCAGGCGTATTCTTGTTGTTCGGTTTGCGCCTCTTTGATCTGGGCGGTTGTGAGAGCTTTAGCGGCTTCCTTTACGAGTTCGCTACGTTTCGGAATCGATCCACCGTCGTTGCCCATCGCGTAGGGCTTAGCTAAGACTGGATGTGGTTGCGCGCGGATTGATGTGAGAGCGTTGGTGAGAGGCCGAGGGTATGCGGCGAAGCGCGGAGGTTTGAGTAGTTTTGGGACGTGCACGTGCCAGCTCCCATCCAAGGGCATGAGGGAATACCTAGCTAGGACCCTGATAGAAACAGATTGCATATTATGAGAGGATAGCTCGATAGTGATTTGATCTACGCACTGTGCTGGATGCTATGTCTCTACCTTTGAAGGTTATACTGGTGTTATACAAGAAAGGTATCTATTGCACTCCTCATGTCGCAACGCCTCATAAGTGTCATATCTACATGTCCCTCAAATCTCCAGACTTGTCAACCGCCGGAGACGTGTATCCCTTTCTTCGCTCGAATGGTTTCGCTGGTCTTGCTGGTCGCGACGGTCTCTTCAGCGGCCTTTTCCATTCCTTCTTCCATGACGGTCTGGCCTCGCCTCGGTCCTCTTGTCTCACTTCGGCCGGTTCCATTCTGTCGTCTGCTTGGCTGTCCTCTTTCCGCAGATCCCCATGCAAATCTGCCTCTTGATCCTCAGCATTCGTTTGTCCGCCCTTGAACATCACCCTCTGGATAAATGCAGAGAGTCTCGCTCTCTCTTTTTCGAACGGGCTCTTCAGCTCCTCGGCGATTAGATTCGAGAACAGCAACTTGTCGTATACGCCATGGACTTTCTTCAGAGCATCGATGGCATCTTGTCTTGCTTCGCCCTTCAGATACTGAGGTCCACGACGCCCTGCGTACTTGGTTTGCCCTGCACCAACCCCCACTTGAAGACGGATATTCTTTACGAGGGGATTAAGTAGAGTGAGGGCATCGATAAAATCCGAACCTTTGGCTAAGGGGAAAGAGATAACAAGCCCAGCATACATAGTAACGGTCTTGGGATCTGCGTCTTCCAGTGTCTTGGACATCATACCCAAGATCTGGCCTCCATTCTTCAGCGAGTTGTGGTTGTTCTTGTCGCGGACGCAGGTACTCATTGCGATCCTGAATGTACCAGGTGGAGGCCTGATGGCACGATTCATCATATCCTGCTGTAGGACTTGGACTGCAGCACTAGAGGCGCGGTTCTGACGGAGATTACGCAAACGCATGTTGAGGTTATTTAAGTCGGGAGTGATTTTATACGTTGTAGGGTCGGTCAAGAGGTCCCAGTATTCCTGAGCTGCCTTATTCGCTACAACTTTTTGGCATGCTTCCTGGACTAAGGAGAGTGTGTTGTTGCCTGGTCGAACGTAAATGAGGGGGCTCGATACTGCACTACCTACACCCTGAGGCGTCAGAGCTAGGAACTCGTCGCCACGCGCAGGGACATTATCAGGGGAAAGATGGTCATCATCGATACGATACTGTTCGGGTACGTTGGGAGCTCGCACGTGTGGAAGGCCGGCGCCTTGTCGCTCCACAGAGCCTAGTCGGGGAACGAGCCGCGGTATGTCCATCGTCTGCTCCACCAGCGAGAGTACGTCGTCCCAGTCTCGCGGCCGACTGCCGATCAGCAACAATCTTCCCATTGCACAGACAAGCTCTTCGTCAATGGCGAGATCTGCACGTCTCCATCTCCCGATAATATCTTCCCACATGCGGCGCCCTTCCATAATTCCACGCTCTCTCCTCGCAGCCGTCTCGTCCTCGCTCTCTCCTTTGGGCGCGTCTACCAACAAACTTTGCCGTATAGCGTTAAGTATGGTGATGTATGTGATGGCATTGGCTGCCGCTGGCCCGTTTTCTGGTATCTTTCCAGCCACCCCCCATAAAGCATCCATGTCGCCCGCTCTTGCGCACACTTTCAGCGCAGCGTTCGTGTGCATGATCGACGGTTCGACTCGTGAGTTGGGTGCGGAGAGCGAGTGGTAGATAGAGAGTGCTTTGCTGAGAACCCCAGATGTATGCGCATTCCACGAGAGGCCTCTGAGGAGTATAGTATATGTGTAGGAGTCGGGGAATTGTGCGCGTTTCTTCATCTGCGGCGGGTCAGCATTGCCCCTCATGACTTGGTGTAGGCTGTGCGTACATCATTGTAGACCTTGATCGCATCGTTGACTCTCTCTTTAGCCAGGTAGTGGTCAATAATATGGTTCCAACTGACAATGCACTGCATGGAGTGGCTCGCCATGCGCACCAATTGCAGCATCTCCTCTGCCTTATCCTTTTTTAACTCGTTCCTCACAAACGTCGCCAGCTCCAGCGGATCCTGCAAATACCGCAACTCCCTCTTCCTCCTATTCCATTCGCTATCTGACATGGATGGGTCTCGCCGGCCAAGTCTCGCTAGATTGGGTGTCTCGTCAACAGGATGTCGTGAAGGCGTTTGCCGCAGCGCCGCCGTTTCTCTTCTCTTCCGATTTGCTGCGAAAGCCGAGTTCTTGAAATGATCTTCTTCATCTCGTGATGTCCCTTGGGCCTCGCTCGAATCTGCAGACCTCTCGTACTCTGCTCTGGTGGCATTGCGGGTGGATAGCAGCCGTTGCTGGCTCCGTTGCAGAAGAGGATTTACATTACGGCGGAGGCGTTGCGCATTGGTGGCCGGGACGTCGAGCGCTTGTATGCATCGCCAAAGGCACGCGCGGCAGTTCAGCATCAGGTCGAGGGAGCGTTTCGTTATGTACAAAGGGCATGGGACGTTCTAGTCAGGAAAAGTTCCCCAATTCCGTAGCGCAAAACCACCGGGCCGAACCATGGCACACGTGATGACCCGAGCACTGCACCGTCCGAGCCGAAAAGGAGCCTCATCTGCTCGCGTGCTACCCAAGAGAGCATTAGCAGGCCCAGTTTGCCGCTATGCGACGCGCCGCCTCCAAACCGTCCACGCGAAGAAGCAATCCAGCCTAGATCAGACTTCCCGCGCCCACGCCTCACTCTAGCAGCAAAACCATGCCTACCGCCTACAAGGCTGAACCTACACTACGCGCCTCCGAGTCTACGGAGCCGAACCAGCACTATAACGCGGGAGCCCGAGCCCGCCAGGCGCACCACTATCATAGGGCTTACTTCGATCCTTCGCTCCAAGTCCCGCGACCAACAAGCAAGCAAACTAGAACTGCCGCAGAATGCCTGGCTTGCGGCAGAGTGTCATGCTAGCGCAACGTGACATGTTGCGTAGCCTCGCTGCTCGTCCTGTCTTTTTCCTTTGTTTACCAAGACTGCCGTAATATAGCGACAACCTACACCAGTTAATACTGGACACCAGAACGGGTCCAACTGATGCTCTTGCTCTTCTGATCGGTGAGACAAGTATGCACATCAAGCACCGCAGCATTAGTCCTCTCATAGCAGAGCCAATGTGGCGGGAGGATCAGGGTTCAAAGGGGTCATGTAAGTAAGCCTGGTAGTCGGCTGTTTTGGTGCGACGCGATCCGTACGTGTGGCATTATGTGGCAGGGAGGATTGCGTGATTAGCTCTGTGCGAGGCAACGTTGGCGCTCCTATGGACGGAATTCTAGGCCGCTGTTGTTGTGCTTCGTACGATGGGGGGCTGTTGTGCTGGGTTGTATGAGAGGTGGTTGTTGTCGTTATGGGTGCTCGGAAGTGGTGCAGAAGAGACATCTATCGTGGTGGTCACCATCCAAACCCCTCAGATTAAACAATCGTCATGTGCATCCACAACTGTCAACTTTGTCATGTTCACGTATCTCGCCGCTTCGCCTTGCCAACAAAGGTCCTACAGTAGTACAGCGTCAGCAGGCGCACGCCCACATTCAGGACCCTCGTCCCCTCGTGGCATCGGGACCAAATCCTTCAGCCCCAGCTACTGCTGTGTAATGTGTGCAACCCAGTCCTTGACACGACCACGCCGCAAACCAGCAGTAGTAGGACAGCGAGCGTATGCACACCATCCTGCTAGTTTCCGCCGTCAGATCATGGGCTGGCGGCGCCGTTGATGTCTATCACGCCAGCCAGCGCCTTTTGCTCCCCTGGCTAGCTTTCAAGCCAGCTGCCCCAGTGCCCTTTGTAACGGCGCGCCCAAAAAAGAAACAAGGGCCAGCGCTCGGGGCATCAAAGTAGTCTCATCGGACAACGGTCTGATGTGCCGCTAGACGGCGATCTTGCAGATGCGGTCTTGCGAGATGTTAGCGTATCCTGAGGTTTTGTAGTCGACTTCGCATGACATGCGCACATTTGAATACGGGTATTTTGCGGAAGTTGTTGCGAGGATCATGAACGTCGCCGATGTTCAGCTTCTTTGTTGAGTTGCCCATCCTGGCATTTTGCTGCAGAATTTTCTTTCCCTTTGGCGCGGCGCTTTGCCGGTGACATAGGAAGAGGCGTCATCACTCATGCGCTTTCGGATGATATTGCCCAACGCGATCACCGTCGGAATCTTTGTTCCAGCGTGCCGCGGAGAGAACAGGCAACAAGCCGCAATTCTCCAGTCTTGTAAACTGCCTTTGGCTGGCAAAATCTTCCATGGCTCTCATCTCCACACAGCATACGTTAATCGCATGTTTTTTCTTGGTGCAGTAGCTGTCATGGCGTCGGCGCTCGCATGACCACGCAAAAGTGGTCTTGGAATTGCTTCGTATGATTGTAATCGATGACATGGTGTTACAGGCCACACGCCTCTCCCATCTCATTCTCAATAACACTGAGCAGCTAATACGTACTCTCGTCATCCTATTAGCATTTAGGACAGCCACTTATCGTTACACAAAGTTACCTGCAGGCACACTCTGCTGCACGCGAGACAACCACACGCATGCCCATCCCATTGGCACACCGAGGAGCATCCGCATATGCCGCGATCTTCGTGTGCACATCTTGACTGCCACTTCGGCATGTGATTAATATATTTTGACGACACAACTATTATGCAGCCACAATTTCATGCGTCCTTCCTATCGACATTCCGCGCCTTCCTCATTCGACACGAAGAGTGCGCCTCAAAACTCAGTCGAACCCAAACGGTACTTTCCACCAACCCCGGACACAGGATTCCCCTCCTTCTAGTATTATCGGTAATATGCGTTATTATCATCGTATTACAGTCTGTCTAAAACCATTTTGCGACATGTCCATGTGCAATCGATTGGCTGTTCGTGTTCAAAATATTCAACATGACACCCCTGCTTTGGACGAATCAGTGCACAAGCCGGGGACTGCAGAGTGAGTTGTGCCCTTGAGCAAGGTGACACTTGGGGGATTTGCTGTTGGTCTCAGAGTGGTTGTGGTCTGATGTCTTGATGCAAAATTAAATCCGAGACGGGGGAATGCTCGGGCAGTTGACTTGCACTTTGCGTACGTGGCGGCAGGCATGCGAGTGATGGTGTGAAGAGGTGATCATCGCTGCGAAGACATGGACAAGCATGTTGTGCCAGAGCCCGGAGATTCAGAGAAGCGAGGCTTACCTTGTAAATCCATGCTATCCATAGCGAGCCTTGAAACGCGCACAGACAATTCGTATCAGAGAGCGTACCCAGATGCGCATATTCCGTTCGTGAAACAAGAACACCACATATAAACCAGCAACTGAATTAAACTGGTAGGCAGGTCGGGCAACCACGGCCATGTTGGGATACAAGGCACGACGGGTCATAGACGTACACGGCGACATCTTGGCCAGGTAGTGGTAAAGTTCGGTCATAGCGTCATCTTGTTGCACGTTCTGATTTGTCTCCAGCGACACCATCCGATCATGCGACAGTATAACATGCAAAGCACACGATGCAGAGTTGGGCAAAAGCTGGAGGTCAGCAAGATAGTGATTCACAGACCACTTTGCGATGGTTCGTTCCACGTTGCTTGTACGAGAACACAAAGGCTGGCAGGCAGGCTCCAATGACATCCAGCATCATGTGCAAAGAATGACACGGAGAGCGAATAACCTGAGAGTAAGCACAATAGCAAGGAAAAGGGCCGTAACCAGTGGCGAACTAATTGAAGGAGAAATTGAATAATTGTTTCTTGTTTCGAACGCCGATTCACATGCAATCGTTCTAACCCCAAATGAAAACTGTTTGAACCAAGGAATTTTGGAATGCCTCTGATCCATGACAATAAAAGACGTAAAGAGGAATACATGTGACGCGGAATGCATGACGTATGCCCAAGCATTTGTCTTTACGACATCTCCAGTGGTATCCTCAGAACATTGTACTGACTCTTTCGCGGTATCGATCATGGAACCGTATCCATGTTGAGCATGATGACTCAAGTAATCTCCATCGTAAACACCATCAACTAGAAACATACAACCGCCCCCGCCGCCAAGTGAAAATGCAAGCACCACCCGAGAGGAAAGATGATGTATCCGTCGCATAAGCTCGCGACACAGACGCAAAGAACCACCATAAGGAGACTCGTCAAGACTCGCTTGCTCTGGACAACGATACAAGCGAGTGCGCTTTTGGTGTACCTCATCCCTCATCGTCCTCGAACAGATGATGGAGGGGGTCGGCTTCTGAATTGGCAGAGAGTTCCTAATGACTCTGCTGGTACATCTGTGGGTTTTGTCCGTACGGCGATTGAGGGTAACTGCTGTTGTTACTATTTGGACTGTTGTACGCATTGCTGTTGGGGGTGGCATACTGAGCCATGCCCTCAGGAAGACCTGGACTCTGCGTGCCGTACTGAGGGGCAGTGCTGTTACCAGAGGCCGCAGGTTGGTACCCGATGGGTGGGAGTTGGGGGTGTTGAGGAGGCTGTCCAGGGACACCAACTGCCTGTCGCATCTGTCCATAGACAGGTGCCTCAGGAGCGCCTCCCTCGTGGGCGCGCTGCTGCACGTCGGCCCGGTGTCGCTCTTCGTCAGCTTTGCGCGCAGCCTCCTCCTCCTTCTTCTTCGCTTTCCACTCCTTGCGGATTTCCTTGAATTCTGGAAGGATAAGTTAGCATACTATAATAGAGGTGTTAAGATGCCAAGATAATTGGGCAAGGGTCGACAGCTGTTAGCTTCGGTCGTCAGAAGCTACCCAGTGCGGCGGGGACACGACCATTATGGCGCTGCACCAGCACGATCCCAAGGGCTAACCTAGTGCACTAGTTTTGCAAGGGCCACAACCACAACAGCAGTTGTTAAACCGTGAATAGAAAGAACATACCTTCAGGAGTGCGCTTTTGGCCGTGCGATTGCATCGTGACGTGCGCATTCAGATGGTTCAGGGTACCGTAAGCCTTCTCGCAACCGTTCCACCCACACTTGTACATGCGTTCAATTTCTTCATATCGCCGACGTGGTCGCTTGTGTTGTTGTGCGCCAGGAATGGGTACAAATGAATAAACTGTGGATAGAGGGTGTCCTCCCTAAACAGAGCTGTCAGTTCTTAAGATTCTACCATGGGTGCGACAAGCAAATAGCCTAGCATCATGCGCATTCAACGCATCCCTATTACCTGTCTGACGTGCGAAACTAGTTGACTTACTGTAGGTGGTCGCTGGACTGGAGAGACCATTGCAGGCGCGGGCGGGCCTGAAGTCGCAGGGTGCCCATAGTGCATACCCGGCTGGGGGTAATGGCCTGCCCACTCAGGTCGCGAGGCATATCCCATTGGTGTTTGGGGTTGCCCTGGGTAGTGCTGCATGTCGTGGTGAGGTGTGTAAGGCGAGTATTGCTGCTGATGGCTTGCGTATGTCGGGCTCGTCTGCGCGGCAATTGATGGATCTATAGGAACATCCGAGTCAGACTTGAGTTGTTGTGGTGATTGATGGCCATTTGTTTGACCATCTGGGATAGGCATTGACGGACTCTGTTGTTGCGCCATACCACCGGGAGCTTGCCCTTGAGCGCCGGGTTGATACGAACGTTGAATGTACTCCGGAAACGACCCTGATCGAGCCGATGAAGGATTCAGACTGTAGTCTGAATTCGGGGTGAGGTTGGAGGAGCGAGGATCTGGTCCTGGTGGAGGGTATTGCGCAGCAGATGCTTGATCTGCAGAGGTTCCCTCAGAAGCTGGTTCAGGAAAGGTTGGGTAGGGCGAGCTCAAACCTGACTGCGGGTAGTCTGCTTGCCGTGCGTCCATAGACTGTGTAGATTGGCGAGGTGTCGAGGGTAGCTAGGCTCTAAGCTGAGGTTGGATGGTTGGATGCGTGCGCCCACGAGGAGGGATGGCTGCAGAGATATGTCCGTCGCAAACCGTCTTCGGATGATTTGCCGCGGTCTGTGGAAGACAGGCAGCTAGAGCGTATAAAGACGTAGCCTCAGTCGAGCCAAGAAACGCACAGCCAGAAAACCGGAGAAGCAATGTGGTCAGGCCGTGAGTAGCGTGGAAGTTAAACGCGGATGATTTGCAGACGGTGTGTTTTCCACGACGCCCAGGTGGAGGACAAGCAGTTCGGCAAATATGCACCGTCGAAAAGATAACGCACGGAAGGCGCAAGCTCGAGGGCACCGGGGCAGGGGAGAAGGTTAGCGGGAAGAGATCTCTCGAATCGCGGAGCAGTTGGCGCGATGCAGAGTGAAGTGCAACGCAAAGGTTACACAATCGGTGCTAGGTTGACGAGCTTGCACTGCGGGTCTGCTGGGGCGAGAGTGAATTTGGAACACAGCTAGTGACAGCGCGACCTAAAGGCCTTTTAGACTGAGTGGCGCGCGATGCGGATTGGCCACCAATGGATCGGCCTGGAGAGACTGACGGCTTACCCAGCAGGCCTTAGCACACCTGATGAGGTAACAGACGACCGTAGCGGCGAAAACAAGGATGCCAGCTTAGTCGGTAAAGCCGAGCCGTGACAGTGGGAATGGGTACTGTTCTGGGTTACGGGCCTAGGACGAGGTTGGGATGGCGCAAGCAGCAAAGTGTGGGACGCAGGACTGCTCGAGGGTGGGCGTTTTAGTGTGAGAGGGGCGTGCGGGTCCGTGTAGAAGTGGCGCTAGTGACGAAGAAACCAGGTTTGAGTGCGCTTGTTCGCCGAGGGTGAATGGGTGCGCAGGCGGCCACAGAGGTGGTCGCTGTGGACGCACGTAGCTGATTGGCTCCGCAGATACTGATGATGGGGCAAAACACAGTCGGCCCGTTGTTGAGTCGATGATTGAAAGTTTCGCTCACACTCTGGTTCTCCCAGCCCTCGCCGTTCCCAGAAAGCTCAACTAGGCCGAGCGTGCCGAGCGATCAGCCTCTTGTCCGGCCGCCGGGCTTTCCGTGCAAGTTCAGAGTCTCGAGGCAGCGCGCTCCGGGCACGAGAGCGAGATGCTGCTCGGAAGCTCGCGCAGATGCTCCACGGAGGTGGACCGTCAAGGGTGGGCGATCTGGTGCGTTTTGTTACGGGCGCGAGTGACTCGCGTCGTGGCAGGACAGAGGCTGCGCACAGGATGCGTATAAGTGCTGTGGGGTGCCTTAGTGACGAACGCGCCGGGAGGGCGGCGATCGCGTTGCTGGTGGCAGTTGCACGTGTAGCAGCTTTGGAGGCGCGCGACTTGGTGTGCCTGGGGTTGCAAGCTATCGCCGGTGACGGCAGCGTTAGAGCCAGGTACCGTTCGGGCTTGATGATGGTGGTTGAGCTGGGTCAGATTCGCGATGTAGGCTAGAGTGAGGGCTAGCACAAAAGTCGGTTAGACAGCTGAGGCAGGCGCTAGTGAGAAAAATAGTCCGAGTGGGCACGGTGTTCTGGGCTGACTAACCGTGACGTACTGACCGCCCTTTGCACCCGTTTGCAATGTGCAGGCTCCAGCGACCCCGGCAGCCAGCCTCGGCTTCTGCCCATGTCGTGGCCGCCGGGCGTCGCCCTCGTGGTGCTGGTGCTGGTGCTGGTCCTGTCGCAAGACGTGCAAAGAAGAAACAGGCGATGCCATGAGGCTGAAAGCTAGCTCCTGGCGCTAGACGCGGCATGGTACAGTCGCGCAAGGCCTAGTACCCAAACCACGTTAGATAGACCCCAAGATATAGACGTCGCAGAGAACACTGCGAATGCCTCTCGACAACATCTCCCAAGCTGCTCACCACACCGGCCACGACACCCTCACGACACGGCCGGGCTTTTGCGGGCCTCGGCAAGAGCGGCCTGCAAAACGTCTGCATGCAAATATTGGACACGGCACAGACCTCGACGAGCGGCAATAATGCCCAATGCGTCAACAAGAGCGAACCTCCAACCGACCTCTCCATTGCGGTGTGTGAAAGCGAAAAGCAACATGCGACGGAGACGCGCCGACGGCCTCTTTGTCCGTGGCCGTCGTGACTGTCGCTCGCGTCGTCTTTTGTGATACCCCTTCGTAATCTTATCCAAGCCCTTGAGCTGGCGGAGAGCTGACTTGTCCGTCCATGGCGGTTAATCTCCATCAACTGACACAATTGCCCACACCAGCGGTAAGAGCCCAAGAGTTTATCCCCTCGCCGCGGTTGCCATGATAGGCACGCTTTTCAGCCTTTCGAGACCCACCATATCACATCCTCTCCGTCTCTCATTGCGTGCGTGCTTTCACTCTCGCTCTTATTTCCGCTTTCGCACCCTGACATCTCAGCACATCAGTGCACACAGCATCGTGACTTTTCCTTATGCTGATGACAGTCAACCCTTGCCCTCTTGTCAGCAGACCCAAGATATATGCGTCTCTCCAAGTTAGTGGGCCTTGCAACCGCTTGGCTTCGAGTGCACCAAAACGTTCGAGGTCGGTCGGCTAGCATTGTGTCGCGCTGCTGTCAGCCTGCGAAAAGTGGGTCCCTGACATCTCGTGTATCTTTGCTTCTGCACGCTGCAGTGTGCCAGTCTCATCCGTCGTGCAGCACCATGGGCCGCCGCTTTCCTCGTCATATCCATCACGTCGCATTGCATCAACAAAGCGGCCTGCTGTTTCTCTGCCACTAACCCGAAGAGTCATGTACCCTTTCGACAACAATGACAGCCTCAAAGACATGCTCAGGTACACACCTCCCCACGGTCTATGCCTGATCCGGTTGTCCGCATCCGATGAGCCCCAGTCCCAGCCACTCACATGCCACGGTCGTTTCTGCAAACATCCGATCAATGTGCTCGTCATAGATGTTCCTATCCTGCCTGACATGTCCCTGGCGATTAGAATTCTGCTTGTTTCTCTGGTAGAATGTCTGCACCAGAACTCAAGCAACAGCTTGCTGACTTTTTACATGATTGGGCATGCAAGACCAAGACTGATCGGACCCAGGATCATACGAACAGATGCCGCTAGCTATCGCACGCACATGCGCCGTCGAACGGGAGCGGGAAGTAATCTCGATCACAGCGCGAACACCACGCCGCGAATAAACTATAGCAACTCTAAACTTCTGATGCTTCTAATTCCTTTCACAATGTTCTAGCGCATGTACTGTAGCACCGAGACGCAGTCTGAAATCTTCCCGAGAACGACCTGGGTCCCATTCTGCAACTAACTCTGTTGCACATATTCACTCAGCTCAAGACCAGTCCAGCGGTTGTTACTCCGACCGCCTATGTCGTCGCAGCTACATTGAGGTTTGCAATATCAAAGAGACCATGGTGAGGATATTGCATGCCGCGCAGTACCCAGCCACTGCTGCTAAGTCCCAAAGACAACGTATTCTTAGCCACGGCTAATGTCTGGTGGAAGTTGGGCGAGCGAGTCACACAACAAGGGCATCCCCTGCCCACAGTCCAATGTGGGTCTGTGGCGGTTCCATGTCTTCGGTGTAATAGATCCGCCGTGCGTCGCTCACGTGGAGAAAGCCGTACGGAGATGTCCTATGAGGGTGAGTGAGACCTTCTTCGGTGGTGACGAGGAAGGCTGACGACAGCATAAAATTCGCTCACACTACAGGTGTCAGTATGCAGATGCTATACTAGCCGGTTGCAGGGCTAACTTTGAGATATTGGTAACTGTCAAACCAATGTCGCTGCTGCAACTCAATGCACATACGCATCAGCTGCCCATGTCCGAAATTCTTCGCAACTCTCGTAAACTGACACGGCATTGCGCGCAGCCAGCGGGATACCTTCCGTCCCTAGATTGAGGAAGCGGAGGCGACTTCCACATGCTACCTGCAGTGCTGTAGTCATGGGCCTGGATGCATGATACCCTTGTTACAGAAACCTTGGATCTCTGCCACTTTGCACAGTCTTCCTCCCCCACTGAAACCCACCAGGAGGACACGGTGTATTGGGGTCGACACCCATGAACATGCAGGTATAGGCTGATCGTCACCTGATCATGCTCCATTACGAACTGGTACACGAAGACGGCAGAGCAGAACGTTTGTAGTGGTGGTGATGGTAGAATGCACACATGCACGTCAACATTTAGTCGTGTGTATGATGCTGTGTGCGACGTCGGTGCGAACTCCGGATCACGCTGCTTCCGAGTCACTCAACGTCCTGTAGCGCCTTCCTTGTTCAGTAACCCGCTCCTTCGCAACATCCTCGCATCAGCATCACTGCTGTAAACATGTCCCCTAATCTCTCCGATCTGCCTTGGCCTATCTGAACATTGTCACCTCGCCCAAGTCGAGTCTTTTCCGCCATGCTCCTTCTCTGGCAGCGTCAAACCTTGGTAATGACATAGTTTTGCATGCACCCACCCACTTTTATTTGGAAGGTTCCATACATACTGTGCCATTGGCCGTGACACCCGATACACCCTCTACGGCATTGACAACGGCCATGCGCATGCCATAACTCCAGATTTCGCAGAATCATGGCCCACTCCATCCGGTAACGTAGGCGCACCCAAATCACGATCTTCCTTGACAAATAATGCTTTTTCCAGGAACCCTACCTAGTTGCCCGCGGGAGCTGCGCCCAGAGCGGCCGAAGAATGGCCGACGTTGGAGCCCGCAGATCGTTTCTGTCTGCTTGCCTCGATACGACATGGCGTAAGCTTGGCCTGCACACCTTGCCTAATCCCAGTCGTCACCTGCATTTCATGGATTCTCTCTCGTCTGTTCTTTCCTTACATTCTCCGCCTATAGCTTCGCCGTGTTAGCGGATCTGAGCGCTGCCTCGAACGGACATCTTCGTCTGGCTCGACTTGCTCCACATTCCGCTCTTCTCATATCTTCCCGACTCGGAGTCAAGCGAAGCGCTTGACACAATTCTTTGTGTGTGTTGTCCCCGATGGCCTGGCCACAGGATCGGTCCTTTTGTGACCATGAATATGCGGTCATAAGATCCATGCCTTTCGGCATCTATCCGCTTCAAGCTTTCGACAACCCTCTCCAGTTTCCCATACTTGGAACACGTCGCGCCCCTATCGAGAATCGATAAAGCTTGTTGTTCGTTAGTTTACACATTCCGGAGATGAAACGGAGCCCAAAACTGGGACGCCAATTCGCCGGAATATAGCGCGATCTAGCCCCAGGATGCGGTTTTCTGGTTGAGCATGCATTCCTGTAGCCATTAGTGTCCGGCGACATGCCACCCACTGCCCGAACTGGAGTTCGTGCAGATTTAGTTCCCAGCAAAGAATGCGAAAACGAGCTGCGTCATGGGGCTTTGACCGTGCTGAGCTACGTATTCCCTGCTCATGGCGATGCAATTCCAGCAGCAATTGTTTCGTACAAGCTTCATGTTCCGGCGACAGGGATGCACCGATCTTGAGTCGGCATGACTTGGCTGATCCCCATGGGCCTCGATTTCGTGAAGTTCAAACAAAACGATAGTTTACAAGTACCATTCTAGACCAGGCCAGCCTCGAGATAGCCCTGCCTGGTGTCATTACAGGGCACATCCACATGGTTCTTGAGCACATCAACGAAACCTCTATTCACATCGCCGTGCTCGCTTGTAGAAGGTCTTCGATCGGACCATCCTCCGCTGGAGGTTGACTCCATGAAAAACTTGAAAGTGCGCCAACAACCACAGTGGTGATGTCTATTACCGGCTACACCGGCGAACATCAATATCGGTGGGTACATGATAGTTGGCCAGTCCTCTTGGCTTTGTGCGAGCTGGAGGGGGTACCTCATGGTCATGGTTGCGTAGTGTCCCTCCACAATCAGAAAGCGAGTAATCTCCTCCAGATTGATGTTGAGATCGATCCCGCTACTGCACGACACTGGCACTAGACCACGATTCTCGTCAGGTAAGGAGCATGAACAGCTTCTTCCACGGAAGCGAAAGCAAGTCTCGAAGATCACATCGATCAGCCTAGAAAGACTACAGTACGCTTGAAGTACATTCGTGCCATCATCCTTCCCGCACAAGCGAATCATCCGCTGCAACAACACGATCGCGTCTTGCGCCATGACAGCGATCGTCATCTGGCCTGCGGCCGCTCCCAGCCACCGTCTCAATGCCCGGTCTTTTTCGGGTTAATCCTACATTTCACTCTATCTCCACTCCAATCGCACTGTCGACATCTATTGCTTGTCATATCATTGAGCAAGTTACAAGTCATCTCAGACATAGCATAACATGAATGGTAGAAGTCTCTTGGCTGTTCTGCCGCTGTTCTCTCTTCTCGGACTTCTACACATGGAAGGATTTTGCGAATTCAGCCCTATGGTGGTCGTCATTCGGGCCTCCCCATCGATGGTTCCGTTTGATAGCGAAGAAGCGCCGTGTGTTGCGTCTTCCTCCTCTTCACGTCGGTAATTCTACATTGACTCTATCGACTCCTGTAATTCTGTTACCATGGTCTCCTTTACCGAGCAATGGGTCTGGTAAAGATACCCGTCGTGTCTCTTGATCCGGCTGCCACGCTATATGGTCGTATACGCGTCCTTTGTGATTTCTGTCTCAGGGACTCGGTTTGCGAGGCCAATGACCATGTTTGCTATGCACCGGACAATATCGTCTAGATATTGCGCACGCTTCTCAACAAACATCGCATTCTTTGTGTCAAGTACCAGCACCCCTGTTATGTATCCAGTCCTATAGACGAATCAGAGAAGAGGTCTTCAATTGATCTCGACGGTCGTGCACTTTCTATTAGGTTCTGTAAGGTCATACGTGTGATCAAGTGACTATGGTATGGACCCTGCGTACCGCTACAACAGTCTCAACATAAACAATAGCCAAGTCTCTGCAGTTCCCTGCCCTGTTCGAGTTCAAGTATCATTTCTACTCTAGTTATTCATTGCGACCGCCATCTTGCGTCACCTACATGATTTCACTTGGTCATCCCCCCTTGTAAGCACATGGTGAAGCTTTCTGTGACGATCCTGTACATATCTGTTGTGTTTTCCTCGCTACCACTTAATCGTATTCCACTCCACAATGTACTTTCTGCATCCATATGTCTCCGTATGAGGAACTTCGCGGCGATTCATGGGAAAGTGATTATTACTAGACGTCGACAACTCTATGACTGGATATCTCAAGGTAACTATAGCGGGGCCGGTGCAGCCCAGACACCTTCCATCGTTGTTTACGACCCCCTACCCGATTGCCTTGCCTTACCCGAAGGCAATCGTGGGCGTCCCAAGGTAACAATGGGATTGCGCATGATTCTCACCATGGACTTTGTCTCCCCCCGCAGCACTTGCTGCGTCATGAAGATGGACAAAGGTATGAATGCCGTCAGGTACAACCGGTGGGAATACCGTCTCAAAGAGGGAAATGAGATTTTCTATGATCTCTCAAAGACACCACATGTTCGATTCCAATTATTGGTGATTTACAGTCGATGAATAGAATGCTGCATAACGGCGCGACATATACATTATATCTTGTCAGGATGTCTTTGTGTAAAACGTTAGGAGATCATAGTCCAGTACGTACATCAATGCTTCAACAATGATGATTTACTCACCGTATCGCATTGGTATGGTTAAATGTCCTCCCCATTATCTGTCGATCTTGTTTCGCAACATTAAACTAGTATGTTCTTCGCATACAGTTTTCTAGCGAAAGATTGAGATGTGTACAATTCTCCACGAAATGCGACCACCTAGTCGAAGGTGGTGGTCTCTTACAACAATCAAGATTATAAAATGGCTTGTATGATCACTACTTTCGCTGGAACTTATCTTGCTATTGTATATGATGCTTCTTGCAAGACCCGAGTAGGGTGAATGCACTCATCTGTCCTAAGTACTGTGCATGACGTCGTGGCATATTTACCAAATTCACTCACAGGTGGGAGAAAAAGTCGCATATTCGAAGAACATAGAGAAGTGGGCCAACATGAATCCGATCGCCATTGACCAACAGTAAGAGGTGACAAAGATAAGAATCAAATAGTATAGTAAATGATTAGACGCGAAGGGTGCATTGCCCATCCAGCATAAGCAATCAATAGAAGGCACTCAAGTCAAGTAAAGCACCATGAATCAGATACGAAGTACGTGTATTCTATATCGCTATTACTTTGACAGAAACTTTTTCTGAGTATGAACGCCACCAGCACCATGATGCAAAGCGACCGAGTGGTCACGAAGGGTTGCTAAATATGCGCAACCTCGATAGAGGAAAACAAAACCATGCCAGTCTAATATGTGAAAGAACCATGCTGCCATACTGACATCGTATCCTTGCATAAAGATCAAAATTCTGTCCATGGGGTATCAGCGTACGACAGAACCAGAGTCTTCCGTCGTGCTTGGAAATTGGATGAAACATGAGGTAAATCCGAAACGATTACCGCCAACGCCGAAATCAGGTTGGTGGAATGAAAGCTCATCGTTCTGACAAGGCGATAAGCAAGCGCGATGGATAAAGTGATCACCAGCGGCTGTTGCGGATGGGATCGCTGTTACCTCCGGTCCAGCCTGAGATTGGCGTTAGGTCTCGATTGTTGTCGAAAGGACTTCTACCCCCTACCCCCCCGTCCGCCACGGCCTCCGCCACGGCCGCGGCCACCTCCCCAGCGACCACCACCGCCGCCGCCACCACCGTAGCGGGCCATCTCGTGCAAGCGAGGATCGATCTGCTGCTTGGACTCTGTGAGAATCTGGACGAGATCACGAGCTTGCTTGGAGTCTAATGAAGCTGTTAGTGATTTGCGTGTATGGTCGGAGTGCGGGGATACATACTGTCTGTAGTGAAGAGAGTGATGGCAGTACCGTTAGCGCCAGCACGACCAGTACGACCAATACGGTGGACATAGTCCTCCGAGTTGTTCGGGTAGTCATAGTTGAACACGTGAGTAATGTTGCGGACATCTTGAAGAGCAAAGGTTAGTGACTGATAAAAGGAACAAGCAAACGACGATCATGATTGGATCGCGTGAAGCTGCTGTATGTTGCATGCAACCGTCTCTGTGCGCTACGACGAAGATCACGGCATCAAGTCCAGTGGAAAGGCTGTGGATGTCTCCTGGTCCAGAAACCCTTGGAAGAGAGTGCGACTTGTAGAAGTCAAGTATCTCAAGCAGCTTGCTTCAGTAATACCTTGGTAATACCAGAAACAGATGATAGCGAAGACTAAAAGCTTCGCCAGCGTGACCAAGGATCCCTGGGGATCAGATTCGAGAGAGATGCAAGCCCTGGACGATGTCATGGAAGCGAGTGTAACAAGCGCACAAGACGACCTAAGCAGAGCACAATGGCAGTTCACGCATAATAATAGTTGGGGAGGTGAGGAGGGGGGAGTGTTGGGGGTTTGCAATCATACCGATACCACGGGAAGCCACGTCGGTGGCAACCATGATGGGGCTCTTGCCCGTCTTGAATTCGTTCAAGACCCAGTCGCGCTCGTTCTGCTGCTTGTCACCGTGAATGGCTAGAGATGGGTTAGCAATGCTCGTAACGGATGTTGTAGTCAAACTTACAAAGCGCCGGCCAGCCGTCCTGACGAAGGAATCGGGTGATCTCGTCAGCAACGCGCTTGGTGCCTGTGAAGATCAAAATCTTGTTGTCCTTGTCACTCATGATAGTCTCGAGGTGCTTGGCCATGCGGTCACGCTTCTCGAATTCGGTGCAGACCTCAACGATTTGTTGAATGCGGTGGTTAGCAGACAGATCCATGGAACCGATGTTGACCTGGATCCAGTCCTTTTGGTAGTCGGCAGCAAGCTGGCGGACTTCCTTGGGCCATGTAGCGGACCACATGCAGGTTTGACGGTCAGGACGAATTTGACCAATAATCTTGCGGATTTGAGGTTCGAAACCCATGTCAAGCATGCGGTCAGCCTCGTCGAGAACCAGGTAGGTAACACGGCGGAGGTTGGTCTTGCCCGCCTCAAGCATGTCGATGAGACGTCCAGGTGTGGCGATGCACACCTCGACACCGCGTGCAAGGTCACGGATCTGGGGACCCTTGGGGACACCTCCGTAGACGCAGGTGTTTCGGATGCGCGAGGACTTTCCGAACTTGCTGATCTCTTGTTGAATTTGGACAGCAAGCTCACGAGTGGGGGCGAGGATCAGGACGATGGGGCCGTCACCAGGGGCGAGCAGAGGCTGAGCGTTGATGTGGACGATAGCAGGAAGACAGTAGGTAAGCGTCTTTCCGGAACCAGTCTCGGCAACACCAACAACGTCGCGACCAGAGAGAGCCATGGGCCAACCCTGAGCCTGAATAGCAGTGGGCTTTGCGAAACCCTGAGCCTTGACCTCGTTCATCACGTAGGATGGGAAGCCGGCCTCGTCGAAAGTTGTGACGGGCTTGGGGATGTTCTCACCCTTGACGGTCATCTGGTGCTCCTTGCGGTATTCGGCAACTTCAGCGGCTGAACGCGCAGTAACAGCGGGGTCCTCCTTGTAGAAAGACTTTTCGAATTTGGGCATGGTGTCGAGGTCTAGAAAACGTTAGTATTGCGCTGAGTTTGCAAGGGCGGATGTAGAACGTACCCCATGATTGCTGCTTCAGGCCCTGGCCGAGTTGCGACATGCGGTCACCGCCATCGCGACCACCGCCAAATCCGCCTCCACCGTAACCACCACCACCTCCGCCGTAGCCGCCTCCACCACCGGAGTAGCCGTTGGAACCGCCGCCGTAGCCGCCACTAGATAGATGTTAGCAAAGGTTGATGAGATGGGATGAGTGATAAATGGGGAATTCTACGCTGTCGCAAAGAGTACGCTAACGTCCGCCTTAGCTGTGAGAGACAGCCGACCAGGCAGGACGATGGGACTCGGGCTGCGCGCAGAATTGTAAGAAGAGATATAGCAGATGGAGGGCTGTCCAAGAACCGCGACTGTGATGCCTCTCCCATGTGAAGGGGGTGTATCGTCCTACCCGTACGATGCATAGTGGCTTGTCGAGTTGTTGTAAGACCCATATCCAGCATTGCTGTTTTCGTACCCGTTCGAGTAGCCGCGGTCACCGCCGCGACCGCCGCCGCCACCGTATCCTCCACCACCACCACCGTAACCGCCGCCGCCGTAAGACATGATGTGCGAGTGTTTTGTAGGGACTGGTGTGAAAGGGGAACCGGTCGAGTCTGAGGGAGTGTGTATCGTAATCTGGAGACTACGAGGGGATATTAAATGTAGTAGAGCGACTGTACAGGTGTCGCGTGTTGTGCGGTAGAAGAAGCACAAATAGTAGAGGATGTGAGTTGGAGTGAGAGGAAGTCAGAGGGCAGAGCGCGACAAGAAAAGTTGCCTTGCCTCTGTTGCGCTTGCACATTTTTTGAGACGCTAGCGCCGCTAGGGCCAGGGTCTCGCCCAGTTGGGTAAGCGCGGAGCTTGCCGTTATCAGCCCGGGGAAGCGCACCAAGGAACACCGACAAACATCTCGCCACTGTGGGTCTTGCATCTGGATGGCTATGGAGAAAACTCCATCATGACCCGCATATTGCAAGCTCTGATGCCTAGTTTCAGACTTGGGATGAAAGCACGTACGTCTTCGCTTTTGATCTTGTTTAACCTAGACTACAGACGCAGGATCGAGTATGCTGAGGAATGATACTCTGACGACGCTTATGATTGCATCCGTCTCGTGCAACCTCCAGCTGCATCACAGGTCCTTCCATACTCACTTTCCTTCCTCGCCAGCTCTAAGTCCCATGTCCCAGAAGCCTCTCTCCATCTTTATAGCATTAGCAAACCATCATCTATCATCTCCATCAAAATACTCACATTTGTGGCGTGTATGAAGATGCCAGCTAACTCTTCGACTCTGCTCGGACTTAGTCCTTCGGCATGTCTCTCTACCAGCTCACTCCCCCTCATCATCGCCTCCCTGTATTCCTCTGCTACGTATTGCTCAATCCACTTCCAGTACTTGCTTCCCACCCTTACAGTGCTGGGATCTTCATAGAGACGTTTAGCAATGATACCGTAACCGATGAGGCAGGGGAGAAGGGCGATCTGTAAGGCGAGATAGTCTTGCGACATGCCGATGTCGAGGACATAGCGTGTGTATGCTGTAGTGGCTTGGTCCTCTTCTTCGTTGATGATATCAGCTTCTGACAGTCCGTATCCTTTACAGAAGTCGATATGCAGCTGTATCTCTTCTTGGAGGGTGACGACCTGTTGCACGGAGCGGCCGATATCTTTCAGGTTGCTTGACTTGTATGCAGATAGTGCGTTCGCTCTTGCAAATTGAACCTCCGCATCTGTCAGCTACTCTGCTGTCTGTATGAAGTGAAACATGACAGCATGTGTACTTACCAAGAAAAGGTAGTCTTGTACCAGGTAGTACATAAATTTCTCCACTGGCAACGTCCCAGAACCCATACTCTGCACAAAATCGTGCTGAGTATACTCTTTCCACGGCTTTTGCACATCGTCCCGATCCAGCAGGTAACTGATGAAATTCCCTGATGTGAAAGGCAGCATGTATACTGAATGGAAGTGGTTGATTGGGCCACTTCCCTGTCCCAAGTCGACGGCTGTCTTTATTCCTGCTTCAACATACAGGTTTGCCTTCTTCACCGCCTTGACCATCGACATTCCCTTAGCCAAATTACATGCAATAGCGGATGCTAACGAACATCCGGTTCCATGCGTGTTTTTTGACTGCAGATAGGGGCTTTCCAGTATCGTGACTCCACTATCACCTACAAGTATGTTCAAAACAACTTCTTTCTCGCTGTCTTGTGTGGTTACTACGCGGCCGTGTGTCAATGGTAGATGGCCACCCTTTAGCAGTACCCATTTTGGTCCGAGTGACTGGATTTGATGCGCTATAGAGACGATGTCTTCGACGTTTTGAGGATCAGAGAGATTCAAGCCAGCGGTTTTAAGCAGCAGCTGTGCCTCGGGAAGGTTCGGAGTGAGAAGTGTAGTGCAAGGCAGGAGGTGTTGAATTAGTGTTGAGATAGCGGTTTCAGGAAGGAGCTGTGAGCCCGATGTCGACACCATTACCTTTCAATGTGGTCAGCTCACAATGAAAGCTATAAGAACTGTACCTAGAGAGCATCGAAATGTAATCTACTACATACAGGGTCAACAACAGTGGTGTTAATCTTATATCTCCTGAAAGCGTCTGCAGCAATCAAGATTGTCTCGGGGGAGGCAAGCATGCCTGTGTTTCATCAGCGCACTCATCAATCAGATAGTCCTTTCTAATCATAGTCTTACCAGTCTTGACCACATCCACACCAACATCTTCACAAACAGCGTCAATTTGCTTCCGCACGAAGTCCGGCGGCGTGTGGTGTATATCCTGTACGCCGAGCGTGTTCTGCGCAGTCAATGCAGTCGTAGCAGTCATAGCATAGCAGCCATGGGCCGCGATGACCTTCTGATCGGCTTCTAGTCCGCTGTCGGTGTGGCAGGATCGTTAGTGGTGTGTGGCTGATAAAGGGCGGATGCATGCACGCGTACGTACGCCCCACCCGAACTGTCCGAGCCAGCGATTACCAGAATGCGTTTCAGTGTCATTGTCGATCGAAAAGAGTATGAAGGTGTTGCTTTCCACAGGTCTGGACGTAGAAACAGGACTGCTCGTATCATTTTCTCCAGCCAGCCCCACCATCCGCGGATACGCGTACGCGAGCTCGACGTCATTGACTCACATCTTGTTGCTGCCGCAAGGCATGAAAGCTGCATGCCCGACGCTGTAGCGGGTTACTCACACGAAGTTATACACATGTGCGTATAATCCCTCTCAATATATAATGGGCTATGGTCACGTCGGTGCCAGCGGTATTGCCTGCAGAGGAACCTATTTGTGGTATGAACATTGCAGAACCACATTGTCCGGAAAAATATCGTACGTAACATGGACTCTGAAATACAATGGACGAATACATAAACGAGAAGATGTCGCAAGGGTTGCGTAAGCCGACCGGCACACATGTCGCCATCATCGTCGTTACGGTTTCCTAAGAGTATCGTCCAGCTTATTGGGCACGCAAATGGGGGCAACCCTACTAGACTGTTCTTCTTTGCCCCTTTCACAACCGACTCAGCATCCATCCACAATACAGCCACAATGGCTTGAGACATACCTGAAGGTTTTCTCGCATCTACTCTGCTTGAAACAGCACGTTTCCGGAAGCTAATCCTAATGACTTTGCGGAAAGCTGAGTGTAATCGACAAATTACACCGTTATACAAGTTGACCAGAGAAATATTAGTTGAAACGGTAGTATACTACTTCTTAAACAGGTTTTGTTGAAGCATGAGACGTTCTTCTGCAACAGTAGCTTATTCTTCTTTGTTTGCTTCAACTTGCGAGTTGCGTTCATCGACACCATAGTGCTACCACAGTCCCTTGATTTGGGACACACGCTGGGTAGGCTCAAAAACCTCGCTGTTATCCGTTGTGTTTGTCCTTGGCACACCGCCGCTGTCTGTAAATGTTGGGAAAGCCGATGCGTCGTGGTTGGCACTCGCATCCCAGCCTAACGTTTCTTCTTTATCATAGTCAAGAGGTGCCCACGCTGCATCTTCGTCCTCCGGAACGAACAGGCTGTCAGAATCCTGACGGGCAGGCTGTGCTTGCGCTGTGGAGGCTTGGCGGGATCCTGGATTCCGTAGTCGGCCGGACCCATCGCGTCGTGATGCTGGTTGCATAGGCGGAGGCATGTCAGATCGGAAGCCACGACCCTGTCCGCGTTCTGATGTGTTCGTTGATGCAGTGCGGGATGTTTTTCTGCTGCTCATCGCTTGCGGCGCAGGTGTTGGCGGAGCTCCGTTGTAGTCGCCCGAAGTCATTAGCGTGAACTCACAAAGCAACCCGTCGCACCCATAGCTGAACTGTAGCGGTCGCGTTGGTTGAGAGTAAAAAGCCCTCAAGCTTGTCTTCAGTGTATCTGCATGAACAACGATCGCTTTGAAGTCTTTGACGCTGATAATGATATGCATGCCCGGTTGCACAGTGAATCGTTCAAAATCGGATGTGTGGACCGCGACAGCAGTGACAAGTGGATGCTTTAAGATCTCCTTCCCATTCGAGATCTTTTCTGTGTAGCTCTTAAAGATGCAGCGGCCGTCTCCACTAGTAAAAATATCGAGCATTTCAGTTTTGGTACCAAAGTACTCAACATATTCCTTCATAGCGCCGGCATTCATGTTCCACCTGTTTCTCGCTATACTGCGATCAAACAGCGCGTGCATAATGTCGACAGCTTCATACGTGAGTTTGTAGGTCTTGATGACGCCCTGGTTGCACACCATCTTGACGATGAATCGACATTGTGTCTCGTTCTCCCGCTCTTGCACGCTAACTTCACAGCGATCGATTGCGCCGTCGCGCCCCAGTGGGTCATACAAACGGCTTTTGAAGACGGATAGGAGTGCTTTTGTGTACATGCTGCAGGTAAAGCGGCCGTCAGGTCCGCCATGGGTTGGCACGCACTTGTAGTTGGCGAAAAATTGCCGGCCATCTAGCGTAATGGCGCCGTAGGCGGATTTCGAAGAGTTGAGAGCGGTAAATGTGAACTGATGCAGAACGTATGAGATGCCAAACTGAACAGAACAAGAGCGGCAAACCAACCTTTTCGCGACGCGCTTCGATTGCCACGGTCTCGCTGAACTTGCCTAGGCACACGAGCAGGTCATGAATCTTAGACGCGGCCTCCGGTGTTAGGGTGAAGTTGAGGGTAACCATTGTGTCTATCCGGAAATGCTCGCATCCTAGTGAGATATTGGTGTCGGATCGCGAAGAGCCACCGAAAGCGGAAAGAGCGCGTCAAAATCGCGCTAGCGTATTGACATCATCGCGCCTACTTCTACGGGGACAGCAGCACACCCAGTCACTTTCTTGAGAGCGACTCCAGTCATTATCGATTTAATCAATATGACTCAGTCAGCACTCCCAGACGATATTTTGCATCTTCTGTGCGAAGAACTTGCCAATCAAGAACAATTCGACACGCTCTTTAACTGTGCTTGTGCCAGCCGTGCTCTCGCCGTACCTGCATTGACTTATCTGTACAAGTATGTTGCACTGGGCTCGCTAATTGATCGCCACTTTACTAACACAAGCCTAAGATCCCATCATCTGGCTCCTGTCCGAGGCGGGGGAGAAGATCTCTATGGTTTGCCAGCTGCTACCAAGCTTCTTACGATACAGAAATGGTCAATTCTCTGGCGTTCAATCGTCGCATCCAGTCTCGACGTTACACTTTTCCCATACTGTCGTTACATCAAGTCATTAGACTTTCGCGATCTGGGATATCTCCTTGACGATGATCAGTTCCGTGCGAAGGTCTCCAAGTAAGCAAAGCTCCCTAATAGGCATCGCCAATTCTGATCTCGATTCAGGCAATTCTTCTCGGGGCCGTTGAAGCAATTCGAAAAGATTGAAACAGGGACAAACATCAAAGGCAGAAAATACACTCGAATAAAGACGGCGGATATAATCGATGCAATTGGCGAAGGTATGACTAATGTGCAATGCCGTCAGGATGTACTAGTAACATAGAACAGTAGTTACGCAGCACACTCCAACACTCGAGATGATCAGTGGTGAACGCAAGTGGACCTGAATTTCTCTGATATCGCGAATGATCTGACAAAATTTAGTACACCCTGGCGCTCTTGTGCGATGGACGCCCCGCCTTCCTCGCCTCTCAAGCCTCGAACTATGGGACGGAAAGCCTCTAGAGGATGAATTGGTCCACGCGTCCATCAACAACCATTGCCCACAATTTAGATCTCTTATGATCTATACCTGGGTCTCCGAAGACAACGATCACAAGTTCGCCAAATTCCTTTCCTCGATGCGGCCAAACACACTCGAGACACTCCAAACGATCAGCGACGTCAAGGCAGGCGCCGAAACACTCCTGGCTCTCAATCACCATGGAAACTCACTCGAAGATCTGAGACTATGCGTGTCTAACGATTCCATACCGCATCTGTCGTTACTGCAAGGATGCACAGCTCTGAAGACACTTCGCATCGAGGATATCCATGGTACTGTAGACTTGGAAGCAACAGAGCACGATATCTTTCTCGAAACAACCGCCTGGTTACGCAAGTGCGCCGGCCTCCAGCGACTTAGCTTCTCGAAATTGCAATCCGGAGCCGCGCTCATCACGCCCGTGCTATTGGAAGAGAAGATACAACTCAGCAGCCTGGAGATAGATTCGTACACATTGAAAGATCACAAGACGTTTCACCAAGCTCTGGTACACCAACAATCATCCTTGAGGGTGCTGTTTCTGAGTGGCGATACTGATGGCATGTTTCGAGACGACTTGGACATCCTCGTGGACTCCTTAAAACAACTGACAGAGTTGCGGGATCTGCACCTCATCCTCCCCGAGGTCTTGCGGGACGAACATCTTATCACCATCATCGCTGATCTCACTCTGCTAGAGGATCTATACGTCAGCGGTTTGGAGCTAAACGACATTGTACTACCTCATTTGGCGAGTCTACCGAACCTTCGCACCGTCACCATATCCGGTATATCGAAATTCACCATGGATGGTCTCCTAGATTTTGTATCAAGGCTGGGACCGAGCAATCAAGGCATCCGTCTTTCAGTAGATATGGCGGACACGGATACGCTGCTTTCGGAAGACGAACTGACCCTAATAAGAGATAACCTTGTGGAGAAGGCTGGTGGTACGTTGGAGTACATGGCACTTAGAGGTACGTGTTCGCTTGATGGACTTGCGACAAACAAGGCATTCTGCTAACCATTTGAATGAAGACCCGAACGTTCCTGAGTTTGAAAGCGACTCTGACTGAGGTTGTCTCTCAGTTCTTTACGACACTACGAAGAGTGATGAATAGTCGATCGATTTTCACATTTCAATAAGATCATTTCAATGAGTTTCCTATTGCACCATGGTTGGTGAAAGAAATAGCTTTTCTCAACTAGCTTGATCACCAACAATGATGAAAGTGGTCTAGTCCTTCCTTGTTGCAAGGAATGTAAGATCTTAATCTATCCACATATGGTTCCACCTCATGAAAGAAAATGTGGTATATCGTAGGAATAAGCTGTGAGGATCTTGTGTACTTATTCCATTTCGGTTTCACTGTTTTCTTGGTCTCCACTGAGACGCTCACGCAGCGCTGGAAGCCTTCTCTCGTAGATGTCTCGCTCCAGCTCTGGTAATCTCTTAAGCTTCTCGATGAAGTCCGAGCTCAAGTTATCGTCGTCCAAATAGATCCACCAGTTCTCCGCGATATACATTGCCAGATAATCCTTTAGCCTCACTTGCGAGGGAAGTGCAGTGTCTTGCGAGACATAGACCTGATATGCGAAAACCAAGACGTCCTGCATTTCTGGTTCTATGCATCCTTCCA